TCGCTAATTCAGCTTTCCCCAAGACAACTTTCTGTGTCCATTTGACATTTTCGAGATTCTGACGTGACCCTTAGTGAATAACCTCAGTTTTGACGAACATAATGATCAAATCTAGAAAACTCAACCTATCTATCTGATTCATGACTTAGAAGTTGAGTGAAGGAGTTATTCACGAATGAATAAGGGTCCTCGCTGTGGGCCGTTTTCGGAAATTCAGCGCAATCCTATCAAAAGGCCGTCAGCTCTAAGGCTGTTCACGGAAAAACGTGACTGAGGAATTTGAAACCAGTCAACCGGTGTTAGTGTGGCAGCCATCAACCAAAGCCAGCGTTCACCACAGACGACTTACTTCGTAACATTCAAATTTGCTACTTTTATTTGCACTTTTGCTCTGTTCACACGACTACCCCCTTTCCACCACTCTCTAGTCACACCATATCTACGTTCACACTCCCAACGCTAATCACTCTCAGTTCACCGAGACAAGATCGTCCAACCACGACAAGACAATACAGCACCTTCCCCACAATATTTGGCTTGCGTTCGCATCGGTTCTCTGAGCGTGTGTCGATGGTTGCTGGCAATTTACCTGTAAGAAGACTGATAGGCACGGCAATGACTAATCCGACAAGAAGGCAGAACGGCGTCAGGTAGAGGTAAGAGAGGTTGAAGAAGGAGAATCCGTATTCTGGTGGTGGAGCAGGCGTCACCGCGGTCACCAACGACGGCGCAGACGTCGACACGGAGGAGTTGACAATGGAACAGGTGGCATTCGTGAGGGGCGCCAGCACGTGTTCCTGGAAGGTGTAGAAGTACAGCGTACCCACGATCATCGTGAGACCGGCAACCAAACTCCCGAGAAAGCCAAACAATGCACCCTGTTTTGAATTAAAAACAGAAATACGTAAAACTGGATTAGAGTAGCATCAACAGTGTTCTGTGATCAAATCTGAACTATTCCAAATTCCTAAGATCTCGCTCAATGCGCGTACACAGAACTTTTCGGGATTCTTTTATCACGAAATTGGTAGAACTACGCATGAGGCCAACTATCCAATCATAACACAAGACCAATGAGATTCCTCGCAAAAAGGGGGTGTGTTATCCGGATTTAAGTTATTGTTTTATCGTCATAGTATGCTCAGTTGGCGCCATTACACCTTTCAGAGGGGAATTAAGCAACTGAATGAAAACAAACAAGAAAGTCTCAAGCTCACCCATTTGTTGATGAAGGGAAAGATTATCCCCAGAGTGAAGACGGTTAAAATCGGGCCGCCAATAGCGCCGAAAATGGAAAACGAGATCCTCAGAACCCCCGCGGGAACGACTTGCAGCAGGAAAGCCAAACCGATGATTACCAGGCCGAAGAGGATGGCTAAAATGGCGGAAAAGAGGGGGAGAAGGAGTGAGGTGGGTCGGCGGGGGGAGGGGTCGTCAATGCACAGGGTTCGCGCTCTCACCAATGAAGCGAGCGATGAATGTGAGCCGGCTGCGGCGCAACCTGGAGCCCTTCGACACAGTCAGGTAGATGTCCATGAAGACGTCTTCAACCAGCACGCAGGCAATTCCATTGACTCCCGACGAGAGGGTGCTATGAGGGAAGCAAAAGCGTTCACACATACCTGCCATGTAGAAGAGAGTTGACGAAACACCACAATCCGTGGGTTCATGGGACCGACAAATTTGTACTTTTCGTGGTTTCAAATTCCTTTATGACGTTTTTACGTGAACAGACTTAGGCCTGACGCCATTTCGATAGGATTGCGCTAAATTTCCAAGAACGGCCTACAGCGAGGACCCTTATTCATTCATAAATAGCCATTTCACTTAACTACTAAGTCATGAATCAGATAGATAGGTTGAGTTTTCTAGCTTTGATTATTGTCTCCATTAAAACTGAGGCTATTCACTAAGGGTCACGTCAGAATCTCGAAAATGTCAAATGGACACAGAAAGTTGTCTTGGGGAAAGCTGAATTAGCGAACACTTCGTGCCTTTGATTGAAGACTGCCACAAAGTCTTGTGTTCAGATGAGCACGTGTTGAATTCGTGGGCCTAAAAAGGTACACGCACACACACCCATGCTCGACTTGATGTTCATTGAGGCGCAATTCGCTCCGCCATGGCTGATAAACTCACTTTCCACGAATGAGTTCCCCTAAATCCTGCCACAAGCACTCTTGACCTTGCTTGTCTAACTCAAGACGCCAACATCAAAGACTAGTCTAGTTTCATCACAACTCAAGTGTGTACTGCAATTCCGCAGCGTGAGTGGAATCGCGGTCTTTTCCAAAAAGGCGTTAGTTTGGTCTGCTCGAAGCTGATGCCGAGCCAAACAGTGCCGTCTACGAGCAGTGGTAAAGAAGATGCAAATGTTGAACCCGTCGGAGTTAGAAACGCTTGTCTGAACCTATCGGTGCTCTTCGTGTGAGGAGTTGGTTCGACTTGAACGAGTTAGAACACGCCGCAAGGTCCAATAGATCAGCCGATTTGTCTAAAATGTTGACTTGAAGACATCTGCAAAAGTTATCACCAACCAAGGCATTAAGTGCGATATCATGCTGTCTTTCCTTAAATCAGTGAATGATCGTAAAGTGTACGACTTCCTCTTGGTGTTATTGAGATCGAAATGTGCGCCTGTAAATTTTCCACGCATTTTTTTCGGTTCAGCTAGCTCGAGTATGCAAAAAGATGCCGAGGCATAGTGTTGTAGGTGTAGAAACTATCGATTTTCTTCTAAACATGTCAAGGAATTCTCCAAACGCCGGCAAAATTCACGTCCGGATCTTCGAACCGGAGCCGTTAAAGTCAACTCGGAATTGTTGCTTATTCACACCGGCCGCTCCACTCTAGTTAAATATTTAGTGGGAGTTCCATGCATGTGGTTGCATCTAGACGTTGTCCATACTTGATGCACCTAAATTGCGCGAACTTTTTTCTCCATTCCGACTAATTCCATCAAGCGACATTTTGTCCGCAATTCCTTCCTAGCACCACCCCCAGTCGGTGTTGACGTACCTCAGTGCGGCTGCAAAGACCGTGGAGAGGAAGAGTCCGCGAAGGACGGGAATGTCGCTGAAGAGACGCATTACGAGATGCGGGAAGATTTGGTCGTAGTCGGTGATCTCGCCGTTCAGTTTGGGGTCGCAGCCGACGAACACCGCGTACGTGACCAGCCCGGTGAGCATTTGGACGGACAGGAACACCGCGTTCATCGGCAACTGGAGGTGGATTGCCCTGAACAACGGGAATAGATTGCACAGCAAAACGTCTTGAGCTACGAAGGCGAAGCAACTAAAGGCGCTCACATGGACTGCATGCGTGGAGCATGAAACGACTGCTTCGATTAGCCATTACATGCATGAATTTGGGGTATAGCGGTGTTCTGGAATGGGCCAGACTGTGTGTGGACTGGCAACACAAACAGCGGCGTGTTTACTAACGCTGAGCTAGCTTTACGTAGTTAGCTAGGAACTTACGGTTAGCTGACGTCTGCCGGAAAGGAATGTGACAGGTGAAATTAATGGCAAAAGTGCAACTCCAGTCTCACACGTGACGTCTTCAGTGACACGGTTAAATCTCGCTACTGCAGACTAACTGCTGTGTCGATATCCATGCCACCGATGTCAAGGTGTTTGTTTTTAATGCATCCAAGTCATCGCGTGATATATTTTCCACCTGAGAGTTTAAGGACTCAATGAAAACAATGTGTCGCATTAGTGTTTTGTGAAAAGTCGATTCGACGTATGAACCAATAGGCGTCGAATTAGGTGAGAGAACTTTATGTGCGATAAGACTGCATTAGGCACAAATTCATTAAAGCGGAAATAAAAGCCGTGCGGTGAAGCCAAGAGGTGGGACTTGCCTTCGGGCAGTCTTGAGATCCCGGCAAGCCAAGTAGCGCTGCACTTGTGTTTGATTGGTCGCGAAAATGGTTAAGGTCATGCCTGCCCCACCAATCATAAGTGTCCAGATTGAATGACGCACAAATGGATTCGGATCGAAGCTTGAAGGAAGAAAGAAAATAACGAGAGTTAACAGGCAGACGAATAAGAAACATGAAATTGACACCCCCAACGCAACATGTGCCAAAAAATGAGGTTATTTTTAAAGTCAAGTGAGATAAATAACAGTTAACGAAAACAAGCATCTTTTCAACCTGAATTGTAACGGGTCAATTTGTCAACGAGGCACTATCACAGATCACTTTAAATGTAAGAATTACGAATTGGTGATATGTATTTGTCAGCACCAAAGACGTTGAGCGTGACCATCGAACTAAAATGCTTTTGTGACACCGCAAAACGTTCACACAACGGTGTGACACGAATATAATTGCTCCGTGTTTTAATTCGATTAAGAGTTAGTCAATTTTTTTAAATTTTGACTTTCTAAATGCTAGAACTTTAAACTAAATCGTTCGAGGGTCACGTAAAGTCATACATTTTAAACCTCTCTAAGCGATGTGTCAGTGATTAGTGACTGACATACGCAAAAAGTTGACCCACTTTGCATCGTGATTGCAAAAGTTTGAGCTAGGTTACTAGAGGTTACAAAAACAACCCCCTTTGATTGTGCCAATGTCGCCTTTGTGTACATTTCTTCTAAATGCTTCATTGGTCAACATTACCATCGGAATGAAGCCTGACAAATTACGTGTCGCCAAGCTGATACTACTTTAGTTTAAAAAGTTTTTGGGCGACCTTAAAACATTGTTAATGACTTTATCTGTGATTTAATGAATTATGCTAACCCTCAGTTTGCCAATAAAGTGATAGCCGAGCGACTAAGTGCAGACAATTTAAACAGCAAGTTGTCACTTGAGCTAGGCTGTCGATCACATGCACCATAAAGCCGCAATTTTCCTTGAATTAAGCTCAAATGTAGTAAAGTAAAGAGACATCAGAGGAGGTAAAGTGAAGAAAAGCCTGACATACTCCAGAACGTTGAGTCGCTGATCACGAGAAGCAATTTCCCAGATTCGTTCGATTCCACCGACTTGCTGACAGCCGAAAACCAAGATCAGAACGAAGCCGCCAAGCATCACAATTGTCTGGATTAGGTCAGTCCATACCACAGCTCTTATTCCACCCTAAATGAGGGGAAAACGCCGTGATGACAGAGCCCACGGGAGGGGACCAAAGGTGATTTAATGAAACAGTTTCTTTTAGGCTTCTTTGACCACATTGAGCTGAGGCAAATTTAAACTAACTATTGAGACAGATTCAGTGGGTGATAACGGGTAGGATTCAGCTCACATTTTACAGCGGAATAACAAGTCATAAGTTCTGAAAACACGTCCTCTACTGGTCTCTGAAAACAATTGAAATAGACCTACCAGCGCAGTGTAGAATGTGCCAAGAATTCCGGAAATCAATATCGACGAATAAACAGGCCATCCGGTCACTAAAGTGGAGATTTAGACAAGAATAACCAACCAATTACAAATGAGGGGAAATATAATCTCACGAAGAACAATAATCGTACACGTACGCGCCTGATTTAAATTCTAGTTTGCGTGAAGAAATAGTTTGCATGTAAGCAGGAAGAGGCTTGTTGATTGTGACTTTTCAGGTATGAGGAAACATTGACTCAAATTTTAAATGGAATTTTCCGACGTTAACTCCACCAAGAAAAAAAAACAATTTTGTTCGCAAATAAATTTAGCCTTTTTTACTTCGCCTCACTATCATTGCATTATTTTTCCAAACATTTTAATTAAATTCAGGTAACAATTCCTAGATTTAGCTGACAGTGAAGTGGAAAAAACATCAAATATAAAAATCCACCCAAATTAACGAAAAACTTACCTCTACTAAGAGCCAGTGATGGAGCGTAGAGAACCACAGCAATATATACCACCTAAATTTATGTTAAACAGGAAAGACAAGGCAATTAGAAAGAGACAAGTAAGGTTACCACCACTATGAGGCAATATATCCACGTATTTCTCCGACAAACGTATACGTTAGCACACGCATCAGAATTTAGACAATTCATTGCAACTTAACCGTGCACAAAACTACGGTAAGTTATAAAATATAGTAGGTTTAGTAAAATAAAAGCATTTGCAAAGCAAACTCGCCCTTGATTATCCGCTGGGCATAAATGAGTAGATATGCCACAATTTTAAAGCAGTGTGAGCTTCCCGAATGTGCGTTTTTGGATGTCAACAGAGTAGCAAACACAAACTCACCATTTGGAAACAAAACACCACCGTGACCAACCAACGCAAAAGACGGGAGAACCTCAATTCCAAATACTAGAGATAATGCTTGAGTAAACATAAGGCACCTCGTGAGCACTTAGGACGCCCAACTTGTAGAACACTGGGGTGTACACTTCAGCAGCAACGGGAAAAGCAATGCAGTAGCCCAGAATGAGCATCACGAATTCGATTCCGTAGCAATAGGCTTCTGAGTTGTTCCCCATAATTGCAACCGCTGACATAAAGCTGGCCATTGTGCTCGCAACAATGGGAAGGAGTGTTATTTTTCGGTTACCCAAAAAAATGTCATCGGCAGGCGTGAGGTTTTCCTCTGGTGATTTTTCCTTGGTACTGGAGTGACAAATACAATGCCATAGCTTCGTGAAGTGGGATCTGAAACCATAAAAGACACCGACAAACAAATATAGCACAAGAAGGGCAACGATCACAAGGTAGTCGGGCCAATCAAGGTAGCGAGACATAACGCAGCAATAGCGTCCTGAAGGTCGCAAATGACCTAGGATCACGAAAACTGGGCTGGATAAATAAACTGGGAGTCAACAGTTAGATGATGACAATTGGGTTCGGCGTATGAATCGAAATAATTAGGGTGCAATGCCGCCAGTTTCCATTGTTACGCACAGCGAGACCGTTGAGTATTAATAGTGAATTCAAATCGTGTTTTAAGCAAATCTGATTAAAATTTATCCAGTGCAGAAAAAATAAGTCGGCGCTTTGTTTAGCTCGTTTGTCTTTATCAGAGCAGTGTTTTATATTTTTCCTACACTATTTAAGAGAATCGAAATAAGCAGATGTTGCCAACAAACTAGGGAAGTTTTGAAATTTTTTGCCCATAATTCCTTGTTATAATTCAGATGCTATCAAAATATTTTTAAAAAAATGAAGCAGCTATTCAAGTCATTTTTAACAATGTACCAAGCAATATTAAATACTCAATTGAGGTAAGGCAGTGTATATAAACTGAACGTCAATTCATGAGCTTTTTTCACTTAAATTCTTTTGCTTAAAAGAGGGTCAGCCATAATTATTCTTTGCAGAAGTATGGAACTGGTACGCATCTGTGCCCATGAATTCTACTCAAATTTTATCAACTAATTCGTCAGATGTGCCTTGCCTTGCTTCGTTTTCGAGAGCATTGCTCTGAAAGAGCAATGATCAGGGCAGTTAATGTGTTGCTTCGGAGGCATGCTCATTGTTGACAGTAGAGAACCTGAGGACAAAGAAAGTGAAAAGGTGAGTTGAGCATGACAATTCGGTTAATACGCCTGTGTGTTCATATTTTATAAGGGACTTGAGAAAAAAGCTGACTCAGTGTAATAGGAATGGCACTAATGCAAAGCATATTGCGTTGAATGCGTTCGTTTAAGCTTCCTTACATATGCACTCACCAATAGCAAACTAAACTTACGTCATTCATCTCGTTTAATTAGTATTTAAGCGAAATTATGTCACATGCCTTTTCAAAGCATCAATATCTATGATGTATTGATCTGCAGTGCATACCAAGGCCGAAAACTCATTAAAAAGTAATTCTGACCAGTTTTTTTCTTGATCTATAATTAAAATTCAAATTTATTGATTAAAAAGCTCTCCGTTAATTGACATGGATATTCGACGTCGAACCTTCCTCTGAAATTTATTTCAAATGCTAATTTTTAAAAAAGAAAACTGCTGTTTATTATATAGAATTATCTTGCATAATGAAATTGGGGCAGAAGCTGCTATCCTGTTATAATAATTATATGTCGGTTCTAAAGGGCCAGCAACTCATTATTTAGCGGCACTCCTTTCAACAAAAGTCCAGTTTTTCTTATATTCGCAGCCGTGGCGTATTCTATGGTGGACTTGCATTTTCTAAAAAGCATTTGCTGCTTCCAAGAATTTTTAATTTTAATAGGAAGTAAGCACTGGTTTGTTGTTGGATGTCAATGTAACTGCATAACACGTTGGCAGAGCAATTAAACGAGACCCAAAGAAGTTGAGCATTGTAATAAAAATCTGTCTTTTATTTTATCAGTTTTAATTTCAACAATAGGCTCGGATATTAAATGGTCTGCACTGGTACATTTTGGTGGGCCTTCGGCATGATTCATCTCATGAAGAGTGTGGACGACGTACTTTTGGCGGCCTGACCTTGCTCACATATTATTCCTTAGATTCTGTGTTTTATAACAATGCCTGCTGTTTTCCCTTGCATCAACACTTGCATTTTCATTGACTTTTAATGGCTTTCATTCTATTTAGCACGCTTAGTGTGGAATTAAAAATGCGTAGTTCACGTTAGCCTAATATAGTTGAATTACAAGTTAGTTGTGGATTTTGTTTATCTCAACATAGTCAAAAATGTTGCTAAAATTATTTTATGTGAATTGTTCTGAATTGTTAATTTGAACATCAGTTTTTTATTTCAACCTTGAGCATCCCCTGTTGTTTATGTGTCTCGAATTATTCTTTCCTCGTAAGTTCTTTAAATTTGGAGTTCGTGTGCGTATACTTTGTCAATTTTGTTGGGTGCGTTTTTTTCCTGGTATGTGAAATATTAACAGAATAACAACAGCTCCTTGTTTGCTTCATAGTGACTAAAAGACAAATCTCTGTTTTTTTATCAAGGTAAAGTCTCCAGACATGTAGGCATTAACTATTACCTGCTGAACCTTAAGTGTTGCCCTCCATTAACACCTCCGGTTGCCGGCGTTGCTATGATTTTGCTGAATATAGTAAAATTATGCAACTTGAATGGCGGATTTTCAGTCAACTTATGATTTTTCCTTATTTGCAACTTCCTTATATGTTCCATTTCTTTATATCGTCCCACTCCTCTGGCGACTTTTTTTGCTAATTCATAGCCCTTTCCATTTTCATCAGTTCAAAAAAGTGAACATTGCTTCCACGCGCTGCATTTTTTTATTTTAAGCCCACAACTTAAAAGTTATGCCTCTGCAAATCAGATCTTATCTTTTTCGCCTTTCATTTACGTCTGTTATAGGGCTATCCAAGCCTTTCTCATTGTATATTTTTTAAGCCTTGTTTGCTATGCACTCATGATTATTTTACTAATCCTAGAAATTGTGCTGTCAGCAAGTAGTTGGAACATATTACATTTTGCTAATTTTGGCTTACTTCATAACTTCTTCACTTCCCATTTAGCAGACAAATGCCGCGCCCTGCCCTTCGAAAAGACTCCTCCATTGTCGACAAGGAGTCCGCACATGCAGCACTAGCAAAAATCCTCGACGCCGCACGAGCTAATTTTGAGCGTGGAATCCAGGGCAAACGTGCTGTCTTCGAGCGCTACCTCCAAACTCGAGTGAATTGGCTTCGTGCACAGCTAACACGAGAGGCTGAGAATTCGGGCACCCTTGAGATGAACAACCTTGAAGTCCTCCGCATACTTAAACCACATGTGCTGCCAAAAGTGCGTAATTCTTGCTTGTGTCACACGCGCTTTGTGTCCTGTACACATTCGTCTTGCTCGCCTGTGTTTTTTTCTAATTAACGCCTCTTGTCGACGCAATTATAGACCCTAAAGTTCCCATGGTCCCTAAAATCCATGGGTAATATGTTCTAATCTCGGCACTTTTCGCATGAATGACACGCCAAGGTTGATAAATGTTGTACTTTTTCCTTGGTAATCCAACAGGAGTTGCGGACGCCGTCCAAAGGATTAATGCCACCACCGCCACCGCCGTCGTCTCTCTCTGCGCTCAAGACCATTCGAAGGATGGCTGGACGACCGCGGATGGTTCAAGCTTCGACCACCGCGGCCAAGAAGTTTCGCAGCGCGCTGAACTGCTCAACAACAGTCGCGTCGACTACTGCCGGTGAAAGCTTGGTCTGTTCGTGTTCTGAATTTGCATTGGCCTGTACTTGGAAGGTGTTGCTGAAGATACTTTCAGGCACTAGTTTGTTCCTTGATTTACCTACCTCCATTCTTCGTGCATTGATTCCAGAGGAAATGATACCAGTTGGCGAAGCTTGTCACTTCCTGCGGTTCCTCGTTTTCACTCTGCCTTGTTGTCTTTCAGCTTGTCTCAACTCCCCGTAATATTCCCACGAAACCGGCGGAGAAGCGGTTGAAAAAAGATACATCTGTGAGTGACATCAGTATCACGAAGACAGGCCGTCCTAGACGTGCCGCCGCAAGAATGGCAACTGTCAAACTGTCCTCCGCCTTCCTGAATCAGTCTCCAATTGACAAAAAGCCCATGACTAGTGTATACGACAGGGTAAGTGTCTTTTTCTTCATGTCCCGTTTTTAACGATGACAGTCACTTGCAAAATTCTTTGTACAAATAACAAATAAGTAGCTCGGTTTTTGTATTTTCAACCCATTAAGGGCGACCATTGTAGGCTTCCGTTCCCTTTCCCACTTCTTTCAGGATTCTGTCCTCTTCGCGTCCTCGGGCTCACCCGTCTCGAATCCTTTTGCACACCTCAATGCCTCTGTGATTGAGGAGATAAACAAAATCCTCGTCTCTCGGGTCGCCAAACACTGATGCCTTGTTGTCCGAATCGCCATTTTGGTGTTTTTACCGCCCCTCCCTCCTCCCCTCCCCCACCCCCCCAAACTGTCTCATGACCCATTCGGAACACTGTGAGGGAATGCGTTTTAATCTCATCTCTGCAAAAACAAATAACTTGAGCGTCAGAATCGGCGTGCTTTTGTTGTGTGGAAGTTGTGCTGGAATTCACTCAAGGCGAGCAGGAACACTGTGCTTAGTGGGTAGTTAAAGAATTAAACCGATCCGTTAAACTTCCGTTTAAATAAGACGACGGGTTTCATTGACGGGGCGGTCTAATTTACCGCGTTTGAAAGTGTGGTTCCGCGAAATCTACGCTGTAGATACGCATACCAAGTGTGTAGCGAGAACGAACGTCTACGGACTAATCGTGGATATTAGTGTCTTTGAAGTGTGCTGGACGTTCGTTCGAGCCAACTTATTTTTGCCCACAGCCACTGTGTTTCGTTCCCCTGATGTACTTGACGGGTCACACTGCACGCGTCTTGCATGAGAATGACTAGATTATGTAAATTTCTGCTGGCTAGTTTAAGTTACCCACAATTTTGACAAATCCAGCTATCTTGCGGCCTCCCTAGCAGACATTGTCAGGAATTTTTGAAAATCCAGAAAGTTTGGCGTTTAAACAGGTGTCTAAGGCACAAAAGGTGCGATTTATTGTTCCTAAAATCTACAAACAATAATTATAACCATGAAATCAATTCCACAATCAACGTTGGCGGTTTCAGAATGCGCCAAAGTGCCGAGAAGGCGTTTGCACATGTGACACGCATGAGACATTACGGAAGTTGAATGGCTATTAAGTGCTGTGAGCCATCACGCACTATGCTGTGTAATGCTGTCTGTCTGTCTGCATAACATCACTTTTTCAACTAACTGAGGTGGCTTCGTTTATTGTCTGTTTACTTTAACACCCATGACAAGGCTTTTATCTATAAATCGAAATAGCTAAGCAATACCACATAGCGGAGTGTTAGCAAACATGCTTCAGTAAATCTTGTTTGCTGATTATGTCAAAGGCTTACGCTTAAATGTCATTGGCTGCCGTGATGGCAATTCATAATCGCACACTTATTCTTCATTGGTTGCTCTAGGCAATCGATAATCACGCTCATGCACTCTGGGCTGGCGTGGTGCAAATAAACCGTTCTACGCATAACTTTTATTGGTTGCTGTAGCAAATCGATATTCACTCTCATGCAGCCTCACGGACAGACGCAACTGTCTGCGTGGCGCTGATACACTGTCGCGTCCGCTGTCGTCTGTCTGGTCCGTGGTGTCTGGTTTTTAAGAGCCATTAACTAACAGGATTGTAAAGTAGAGCTTGTTGACATTGTAGGCCCTTTCCTCGATTCCGATTGTCGACAAATTGGTCACATTTAAAGTCAACTTAGCACTGTGATCTCTTTCTAATCGATAGTCCAAATACACAGAATTGTATTTGCCTTAATTAAATCCCTTACCAACTCACCCATCAGACATCTAGTAGACCTGTTCACCTTGTCCTCAATCTTTACTCACACGATCGCCACATTTTCTACCCGACAGTTCTGTGTTCCTCGAAGTTGCAGATTAGATTTTGAGGTTCAAAGACATAGTGAATGAGGCATCCGGGCTCGGTATTCCATTCGTGGTTTTCAAACCAGGGTGGCAATAAATGCAACAATGATTTCACTACACTTTAAATTACTGAATTTGAACGCTGTTCTCAATGACTTAGCTGCATGACCACGTAATGGAAGCACACAGAGAGACATTTGAGGAAGATCAGTTGCTGACCAATCAAAATGGTCGAAGTAATCAGCTCCTTGGAAGCAGGAATGAAGCTACCAATCACGAACGGTGACTCGATGTTGGTCACCGCTGTGTAGTCATCGTGAACACATTAATTAGGGAGCCTCGATGTCACCTAACCACACCCAGGAAAAGCCACCGACGTGACACTGAACATCAGAGCGTCTGAGACGGTTGTCAAAACAACGGCCGTCTCTGTTTATAAGGCGCCTCGTGGCGATGTCATGTTCTGTGGCTCGCAGTTTGCGCACTTGCATCATGCAGAGCGGACGTCATCTTGTGCTCCTGGCAACTGTTCTTGTGCTCCTCGGCGTCGTGGGGGCAAGTCGACCCTTCATGAATACCATCTGGAAGTCGTGGAAGATGGTGAACAACAAGACCTATAGGAGTCTTCGTGAGGAGCGTCTTCGTATGCGCATCTTCGTCAACAACTACATGTTTATAAGGTGGCACAACGAGCGCTACTACTTGGGCCTTGAGACCTACGCCACAGGCCTGAACCAATTCGCTGACTTGACTACGAAGGAGTTCTCCGAAAAGTATCTCTCTCTAATCAACGCAACCGCCCGAACTGAGCAACACAAATTCCATCTTAACCGTCCACGTCTCCCGCGTCGATTCGTTGCACCTGAATCCATTGACTGGAGGAAAAAGGGCTACGTGACATCTGTCAAAGACCAGGTAAGACTTCTATCCTGAAGTGGTAAATTTTATTTCTGACTAAGCTAAGTGAGATTCCATCAATCAGATTGGGGAGATGGCTAACTAACTTCAGGGAAATTGTCTCTTGTGCGCTTGTAGGGGGCTTGTGGGTCGTGCTGGGCGTTTTCTGCCACCGGTTCGCTGGAAGGTCAACTCAAAAGGGCCAAGGGGAAGCTTATTAGCCTCTCGGAGCAACAGCTTGTCGACTGCAGCTCTGCACAAGGCAACGAGGGCTGCAACGGCGGACTGATGGACAGTGCCTTCAAGTACTGGATGAAATTCGGATCTGAGTCGGAGAAAGACTACCCCTACAAGGCGCGGGTAAGCAAACCCAGCACTTAAAATGACTGCGGTTAGGAGGAGCCATGAAAGTGGTGTAGCGAGCCCTGGCGTGGCTTTTGGAAATCACACCCGGGGCCGGCGGTATACGCTGACAAGACCCGACCGGAAAAAGAGTGCAAAAAGATGCAGATGACGCCTAGTTCAACTAATTTATTGATGCAGTAGCGGTGGGTGTTTGTACAGGGTAGCAGGTGCGTTTATGCAACTCTGCTAAGTATTGATCTCTGAACGCACGTAGCTGCGTGACATGCATTCACGAAAATCGATTGCTGCATTCAAGAAAATCGATCGCTGCTCGCCCCACTGGTATTTAAAGCAGGCGGCAGTAAAAATTCTTCGCACTGTTAAGCTACAGGTAGGCGCTCAAAATAACATGACTTGAGATGTTCATCTTAACCTAATAACGCCATGAACCACCGTAACTTAGGCTCTGAAATATCAGCTTCAACAACACAGCATCTAATTTTCCAGTCAGACTTTGCAATCAATGAATAGGCCTGTTGTTGGAGGCATTTTGTGCAGTACACTCATGCACCGGTCTGAGCAAAGAAACGACGCAGATTAAAACCAGCAAGCAATAATTCGGTATAATATTCCTACACCGAAGACAGTTATAACAGGGCAAGCCTATTGACCAACCAGAAGCAAGTATCGTGCATTCGGCATCTACCATCCAAGTTCACTGAACAGGCAGTGCCACGGACTGTCTAGTGCTTCACCGCCATCCTTAACTCGGGTTTGCTACTTGTCTTAAAACTTAGGCCATTCAGGTGCACAGAAACAGAGGATTGGTTGAGCTCGGTGCCAGGCAATATGTCTGCGCCCTTGTTCGGCACTACAATTCACTTTTGTGTCAAAAGTCGCGTCTAGCGGTTTCGTTTGAACTTCAAGTTTCCATTGATTTTCAAATCGAGGTTGTCAAAAATGCTGTGATAGTCTGACAAAAACCCTTTATTTAATTGCACTAATACTTTGTCTATTCTTATTGGTCTCCCTCAAGGTCAATGAAAATCCCCACGCATGTCCGGTGTCTTATTTTGCCTTTCAGGACATGCGTTGTCACTTTAACAGCTCAAAGGTTGTCGCCAGAGTTAAAGGCTACGTTGATTCGCCTCCAAAGAGTGAACAAGACCTCAAGACCAACGTCGCCAACGTCGGTCCTATTTCTGTCGGAATTGACGCCAGCGGTTCCGGTTTTCAGTTCTACAGGTGAGGCAATAAATTTGCACGAGTAACAGTAACCGGGATACCTAAAAATCTGACAAGTCAACACTGGACACACAAAAGCAAACTTAAGTGTACTTGCGTTCTAGTGTAGTGTAAAGGTAGTGTAAAGATATCTCAGTAGAAACCTCGGTGCATCTGATTGGCTTTGCTCATTTCGCGCCAAAATGGCGCCCTCCTTCAGCCAATGGGATGCGGCACAATAAACCAATATGGCGCCGCTCAGTACTGGAATCGATTTAGAGAGTGGTAGTACAATTATCTTGCCTTTTCACACACAGCCACGGGATTTACGAGGACTATATGTGCTCAGAGACCTATCTTGATCATGGCGTGCTCGTTGTTGGCTACGATGCTGATGAATCGAATCGGGAGTACTGGATTGTGAAGAACAGTTGGGGAACCTCCTGGGGTCAGTCGGGGTACATTTGGATGGCCCGAAACAAGAACAACATGTGCGGAATCGCCACAATGGCCAGCTACCCTCTTGTCTCCCACTGAACTTCCAACTTCTTACCCGATTGAACGATTAATGCTTACTTGATTTCAATAATATCAAGAATTCTTTATTATAAATTTGCTGAAAATTCGCTGTTACCTTATTTGGTCTTTTTGTACGAATAGTTGCAAGACCTGAATTCTGATTGGATTTGTTTATCACCTATCCCCGCTTCGTCTCAAACGCTTGGTTATTTTCCCAAATTTATACTACCTTTTTACGTTCAGTAGCAAGTATTATTTACTGTCCTAAGTCATGTTCATTTAAATGAAGAAATTCAAAGCTAATTACACGGTGACGGTGTGCAGTAAATTATTCTTGTGTTAATATTATTTCCGCGACATTAGTAAGGGCAAAGGAAGTTAATACAAGAATAAAATTATCAAATTTTAGGTAGCTAATTCCAGAGATATTGCAAATTCTCTTCCACTAACCTGTCAGTGTGGTGCCCAAAAGTAAGCTGTGTTGAATCATGTCTGCCTTCATAAAAATAAAGGACAAATTGCACAGGGCGTCAAAACACTGGTCACTTTGCATAATAGATTTTTACGTCATAACCAATGCACGAAAAATACCAAATCTGAGCATCATAAAGCGTCGTTTTGACATTTGTGCTAGCGCACGTTCACCGATGACGTTTACACTTTCCACTCATTTTTGTGGGGAAATAAGCACTACTTGTGCTTATAAGTAGTGTTAATTTATCATCAAAGCAATGGTGTTGTATTGATCAATTCTCTTGATACACACACCAATCCTTGCGCCCAAAAAAGTATTTTCCTTGTTGAATTAGTCTTTAGTATAAAACTAGCTTCGAGTTTTGCTGTGCTTTAAGATGGAAAGCAGGAAGAATTAGTAAATACACCAGATCGATCGCAAAAAAACTCGGCAAAATAAATGCTAGCAACCTGCGGCTAATCAAAGACTTGCATTGCGGTGTGGTGGCATCCATCAACCGGGTCACATAAGCGCGCACCACCAAACTTGCATCTTCACAACCACACCTATGACTAATGCGTAATCTCTGGGACAGAATTAAACGCTTTCAGGGACTCGGTTGCCTTAGAAACACTAGCCGGGCACTGTCCAGTAGAATGTCAAGAGGTCCTGCACTTTGTGGAGGTCACAGACGACGTTGTCAAGGGGATTTTCGGGGCTTTAATCCACACGACGACGATGCTTGCATTGAAAGTTGACACAGCCAGGTAAATCTGACAATGGAATGGTCGGTTTTGAATCCTTATTGCAGCAAAATTTAAAATGCGTGCTAAAGTTGCTTTTGAATTTGCGCTGCCTGAGCTTTGCAATTTAAACAAATTGTCCACGTTTCATGCAATGTCAAATCAGGTAATCAAAAGTGCACGCAGGAGGTGTTTGAATTGTCTTTATCTGGGCTTGTCAAAATCCACTCATCGATCAACTATGAGGTGAATATAAATCGGAATATTTATCAGCTTCACAAACAAATAAAAGTCCGTTGCTTTAATAAGAGTGATCAATACGTGAGATGTACTCAAATCGTACACCTATTTTTCACCTTTTCGTATTTAATGTAACCTGATTTTTGATGCTTATTTCAAAATTTTGCACAAAGTTCGGCTGACGAGACGTGTTGGCTTCTTCACTTCCCAGGGTGTTCGCGTTTCTCGATAGTTTTGAACAGACGGGCAACCGTGGCGTCTGTTGCCATGGTAACTAACAAAAACCTCTGCAAAACAAAACCGACTCAACTGCGCAAAGCCAGACAATGGAGCTCTGCTATTGGCGTTGATGGTTTGCGTGCTCAAAGACACTCAACAATGCGTCGATATTCGAAGGTTGGACGTCTTCACACAGGCCTCACGCCTTGAATAAGCGAGAGATGCAGCCGCCACCTACCACAACGCGTTCTTAGTTGGAGTCCAAGTTAGTATTTACGACACTTAATCACGTCATGATTTACGCTTCGCTGCAGCACACGGTAGGCTGACATCGCGGCACACGAAGCGCACTCCGGTTTAATTGACCAGGGCGAAACGCAAATCATTCAGTTCGAACCCGGTTTTAGGATTCACATGTTTAAAACACACGATACTCCACTACGCCGTGATTTATGGGGACAAAAACAATGCCAAAATATATGTGGGAGTCCTGCAAATGTAAGCACTGACAGTGAACTAGGAGAACGGTAGATGAGAGAGTGCATCATCGATCTAACTGCGATTGTTTCATTGGTGGTTCTCAGTAATTATTGGTATTATTTCTTTAAAGGTGATCATTTAAAGTCTATCAGGTAGTATACTGTGAACACGGTTCACATGTGATTAGAACTCGCCTCAAGTTAAGCCAATCAGAACCGTTCTAGTGTCTGGAGTGCTGGTCAGCCAATCGAATTGCAACAATGGCAACCAGGATGCACAATGAGGCCAAGGCCATAACCCGACCTGTTCGCGTTAGCTCAGGGAGTCAGGTGAAGCAGATCCCGGGGCCGTGATTCCGTCTGGCTGTCTGGCAAGCTTTTTTAGCCTGCCGAATCAGACAGGACTCATACAATTCGCCCCCATAATCTGCCTAATTTATGGTCGAGCGTTTTACTGCAGCCGCGGTTATGGATACCACGAACTCGTAAACACCGAATTGGGGAATGTGCGTGCACGCGCACACACTCGTGAGTTATTTGCAGAGCTGTGTCGCGTGCTTGTGGGTGACTGGTGACTAACCGGTGATACGAGACTTTGACCCTGGCCGAGTATGTCTGTGTCGAAGGGGTGTGCGTCCATAAGGAATTGATGGATGCTCTCGTCGACACACACACACACACACGGTGGAAGATCTGTTATGGGGCAAAGTAACGCCAGACTCGTGGAGTTGGCGCGTTCTTTGATGTTCTCGCCGGTGTTATTGTTGCCGCCATTCCGGCTACAGCGAAGGACTTGGGCGGATTTATCGTCGCGCCGTAATAAACCTCCTCTGCGTCTTGCCCGACTAGGCGTGTGTGTGTGTGTGCTTATTTGTGGCAGAAGAAACGACTTTATTGACGCGCAGAAATCCCATCGGTGACGGTGACTTTTTAGTCCAGTAGATTCCACCTTCAAAACACCCATTTGCAAGGGATTCTTTCTGCAGCTATCTAAGCGTCCCAATTTGATCGGACGATTCGGTGCGTTCTACAGCACACCGCTATTGGTGAATTCTCAAAATCATCCCATGAATGGTTCTGCTTCCCATTCTCATTGGTCGTGGTTTCGTCGGACTTTAAAAAGGTTCTTGAATGAGAATAACGACGCCAATCCGGAAAGTTCGACAACGTATGCGTGTTGCCCTAAACGATGAATATCACGACAGGAAACAGAATACAAAACCACGAATGTTAAACAGTAAACTTCTAGAGCCAATATGGATGCTCACCGCCAAGGCTCGATTCAAATGGCGCGCCGACGAAACCAGTATAGTAAAACAAAGGGTTATAAGGAAATAAGATGGCAGGTGTTGTAGATGAGCAGAGCTTCGACCACGGAATAGTGGAGGTTAACGCCTATTGGCCCAGCATTGATCCAACCGCAGAGTCGCAGCTAAAAGTCAATCGTTGGGTGGCTTGAAAACTGCAGGAATTCACGACTGGAGGGTTCGAGTCGCGTAGGCCTTTCTCGCGTCTTTGTGTGGCAGCACACGCACACACACACACACATCTCAGTCATTAATCAAGCCCCTGAAGGAGTGCCCTCATTAATTAGAAAACGCTTGTGTTCCCCACCCCGCCACCCCCCGCCGCCTAATCGGCATGTTCTTGGTGTGTTTGTGTGCAAGGGCGGCAGTGAATGCGACAAGGCTGCAACTACGCCTGCATCTTCAAAGCAAACTATCCAAAAGCTAGTTCCCGCTCGACGAGCAAACGGACGCACATGCGGTGTAGGCGGCAAAGCGGGGCTTGTGTCAAATATCTCACTTTTTTCGTTAGGTAAACTCGCGATTTCGAATGCTGTCAAGTTCGAGGCTGTGGGACTGGCTCCGTGGACGGGTGACTATTAGCGTCAGGGTTAGAATGTAGTGTCGTTCGTTCTGATGGAGAGCTTTTCCGGTCACCGATTGGCCGTGTGATGCAGCCACGTGATTCGACAAACAAGATGCATGAACCTGGCGGCATTCTTTGCCGGTGTTTTCAGCTTCGGCGACGCTGAAAAGCGGTCTCAGGTGATTGGTTGAGGCTCGAATGCTTTCTTTGCAGATATTTTCCCGCAAACTTTACCAACATACATGCATACTTAGGTGAATAAGAGCCAAATAAAAGCCATACTTGTTACTAGAATTCTAATATCCCGAAAATCAATCAATAACTGCACACCTCCGTTTTCCCATGAAGTCTCTGGGACACATTCATTGTCGAGACCTTTGGTGCGCTGAGAAATCACCACCAAATCGAGATGAGGGCATGTAGGCGATCATTTTAAAACTCGCTTCAAGTTACGCCAATCAGAACTGTCCTACATTTTGGAGTGCAGCTCAGCCAATGGGGATGCAAAATAGATTGTTATGACGCATAAATCGATACTCATTGTAGCTGAGTCCGAAGCATGGCGCGTTTCCATATTGTAGGTTAACAAAAGCCATATTTGAATTCAGTTGTTGGCACTTGACTGGCATTCTTGACAATCACACGATCCTAAAACATGATCTGGCTATTATTCGTGTTTGAAAACTATAATTCTGTGTAATAACTTCAAACTACCAACGCCCAATGAATGAAATACTCGATTCCAGAACGATTCTCATATCGCCTGTAGACAGCTTTCACGAGTCCTTTAGGTATATCTCACGCTGGCAGTGACCACCATGAGGAATTGCCTCTTGTTTAAATCGAATAATCGAATTTTTATTGGTTAGTTGAAAACGAGTGAAGCGGAGGGTAATTTAACGGGCTAACACCGTCTCATTGTGGCTTACCTGTGCTAAAAGCGCACTGCGCAGTCTACGCACGACGCATGCGGCTCGGTTTCAGACCAAACATCAACGTCGCCTCGCCGCGCACACCCCCAAACACGCATGCACCCACCCTTCGCGTTGTCTGGACTCAATTTGAGACGGGTTTGTGGGTGGTGCGAGGCCCACTTCCGTACACATCGCATCTCGGAGGGTGACGGCTTTCGAAAGTGTGTGTGTGTGTCTAAATGCGGATGCCAGTGTGTCTGTGCGTCGTCAAATTCTAAAGCCAAATTCGTCAGCCCGAATGCATTGTGAAGGCGCGCACATCAGATGGAAATAGGAGCATGTTATAACAAGCAGATTGTCGTGTGGTGGACATGAGTTGTCTAAAGCGTAATTCACTCTTTAATTTGGCGTTTTTATGTAGAGGTCAACAGATAAATGGGTGTAAGCTGTCACACATCTTGACACCGTCAAACTTAGCGCTGGAAGTTGATCTTTATTTCCACAATTAGATGGTGTGGCAGTTTGGTACGAGCAGAGAAACCACCGAAGTCAGAGTAAATTGAAAATAATGGAAATTTTTCAAATGCACTGCAAACACAATCGATATTGAAGTAGCTTGTCGGCAAGATATAATGAACTGCTTGTTGACAAAGGCCTCCGCACAAGAATCTGGCTGTCCGCAGGACGTCAGTGAAGCGTAGTTGGGAAATAATGTAGCCCACTGCTTTTCAGTGATACCACTTGTTTTAATTTACTGGATACTGAGGACAGAATCGCGATATTGCCAACCCAACTGGACAAAGGTAAAACATTGATGTGGGTGCCAATTTGAAGAGGACATTTCAGTCGAATCAACCAAGATTACCAGCTAAACATCTAAAAATTGGATTGCACGGAAGAAGTAGGTGCGTTAGTCTCAAACACTCAAAACTACAACTTACATGTTTCCGAGGGTATGCTGATTTGGCCGATCCTGCATAAAGTTGACGAGAATTACAGAACACCGAATCACCACATACCTCTGACACTTTGAGTAAGATGGCTACGAAGAGATCTTCAGCTCCTGCAAAACACGCAGCCGCTGTTCATTCGACGTGCCTCTGAAGGGTGCTAGATGTTAAACTCACTGCGATTGTGCACCAAAAACACAATCTTGCTGCCTAATCATCGAATTCTTCCCGTTTGATGTCTGTGCCCATCTGTGTTCGATTGAACGCAGGTCTCACTCGCAGTGACAGCAGTCTCGCGATCGTGTCAAGCATCATTAACCTGGCCGGCATTTGTCACAGCGTGATCTTGAACATGCATCCACCACGGATTCAATGTGACCGCATCACGCTAGTACATGTCGAAGTTGATTGACATCCGTGCAGTGCCGTGTCCTAGGATCCATGCACCATCGATGCTTGATCCGTGCATCCATCAACTCTGTAGTGGATCATCATCAGTTTACTCAGAAGGAAATTCGCCATCCACGACCCAGTCACGACTGCAAATCTGGCCTCCTCGTCGACGTGGCATGGATGTTCTGGTGTGCCAATCAGCTCTCCTGTCTCGTGCCACAGATATCGTTATGAAGCAGAAGTAACGGAGGCAGAAATTGAATCAGTCAGCCACAGGAACTGGCGAACAACCAGTTTGCTTTAGCACGCCTTTCAGTCGTATTCTGTTGTCTAAAACATAAGCTAGTTTTAACATGTCACATTTCGATCATGTCACACAGCTGTAAGACGAACGACCAGACAGGCAATTATTCCTCCATCACCTCCACTCCGACGCGTTCTGTCCAAGGAATCTCACATTCATGAAGCCCACTGACTCACCTCACTCACGGCATGATGTTCCTTCCACTTCGATTCCATAATAGAGACACTACTTCTTCACTGTGCACTCCCATTTCAATAAGAATGTCGCGTAGCGAAACTGTGGATTCAAAATCAACTGCTAAATGATCAGATTAGCTTCTTGTGAAGCCACACTCTTGTGAAATCTCATCCACCTGAGCTCAAATTAGCCCACTGTAGGCGAAAAGAAAGCGAGTTTTTCCCCTATACCGGTCTCCTTTCACTCCCGCCCACATTAGTTAATATCAGCATTTTCGTAAATCAAGGTTAAAATTTCTCAGCTGTGGTGTTGTGTCGCCGTTAGCTACTTTTATATCGACGTTTACGATATTCAAGTTGTCCTTTAATTCGGATCAGCTTTATTGTTATGTTGTGGTTATCTAGGGCTAGCGGTTGACGTCGTCATCTTGCCAGATTCCCATTTGGCCATGTTATGTGATTATCACGGATGGAGTGTGTTTATGACCACCTACTGGACCCCCCTACACGACATCATCACCATCATCATAACCACTATCACTACTTGCCCACCCCCTTCCATTAAAATCAGGCTCGTTTGATGTGCCGCATATTTCAAAAACTTTAAAAAAATCCGCGCTAACCTAACTGCACGCGCGTTCGTGTGTGTGTGAGTGTGAGCCAATCGGGAATCACCTGTCAAGGCGAGCACTTGCACCCACCTCCGTGTCAGTTGTTCGCTGACCTCGATCAACTTGCAAACGCGT